CCTCAGGCCTGGGAACGTCTCGGAGTCCTCCAGGACGAGCTGGAAGGTGTCGCTGGGGAGAGCAGGGTCTCCTGCTGCTGCCCCCGCACCCGATCCCGTATAAGCGGCGGAAAACGGACGAACGGACAATTTATATTGTTAGTCTAAATTATTACATTTAAAATTATAACTCTAATTCAAGCAGAATAGCCTACAGTCAAGATAATCATGGAGTGTAATTTATTTTCAACTCAAAATCTCTTCAAACTAACGAAATATGAAGTTATTAATGAAGAAAACCCATCTGGATAACAGCAGACTGACTTCACGTAAAACATACGACAGGTCTGGACCACTCGTGAATTTTGTTCGTATCTGAAGAAAATCTTAGAATATCAAAACATTGGTGAATGCCACAAATTCTCCTAAATCACTCGTACGCACAACTTAAGAACAAATCTGTGCGTAACGGTTTTTGTATGAAGCCCATTGTTATAGTTTTCATCTCAGGGTGACAAAAAGTTATTTTCAAATAGTTTGTTAATCCAGAAAGTTTTCACTGTAGTGGTGGTATCTGATCTAACACTCCAATTTAAGCTTAATAATCCAATTTTCTTTTCCACAGCAATAAAAACTGTTCATGTTGTTGTTCTTCTTCCAAGACATTTCTTGTTTTGTTTCAGAACTAAAATAATTATTTCCATGAGAAACGAGGGCCCTGCTGTGACCTCTTTGAAGCAGTTTTGGTCCTTTTCAGTCTGAACATCAATCCTAGTGGATTTGTTTTTGTCCCTTTTTATAGTTGTGGGTTGTTTATTTCTGTGATTGACCCTGCAGAGAAAGTTTCCTCCTCTGGGAGCTTAAGGAATGCAGCAGGAATGAATTATAGCTTGTTATGCAATTTGATTATTTTTGTATCAGACTGCTAACTCAGATACCGTCTTCTTTGGCCTGAGCCAACAATTGTTAAGTTATTAATGATTAAATTTAAGCGTGCAGATGTGCAGCAACGACCTGGCATCGATGTAATGCTTTCATTGATTACTAGTAAACCAMTCCGTTCTCTCCACTTTTTAAAAATTTCTCAAAAGATTGTTTAAATAGAAAAGTTTGACATGAGATGTCAGTCGTTGAAGCAACCATAGATCACTGATTAATGGCTGTTTTGTGACTTTCAAAGTAAAAGGTAAAAACATCCTTTGATTGTACAYAAATGTGCTGATCTCTGGTTTCCATTCCTAATCCCCCAGCTTATTGTACTGTCTTTTTAAAGTTTCTACATTATTTCTAATTACTGCAGATCCCCTGACTTCCATGACGAGATCAAGATCAAGCTGCCTGCCTCTCTGTCAGACCACCACCACATTCTCTTCACCTTTTACCATGTCAGCTGCCAGCAGAAGCAGAACACGCCACTGGAGACCCCCGTGGGATACACGGTAAACAAAAAAAAATGGATAATGCAATCCCCATTACTCTGGTTGTATTTGTGTTTTCACGTGAGGAAAGTTTACACATTACAAGTTTTTTTATTATTGGGTTTTCTCTTTTGTAGTGGATCCCCATGTTGCAGAATGGACGCCTGCGAACAGGACACTTCTGTCTGCCCGTCTCTCTGGAGAAGCCGCCTCAATCGTACTCTGTTCTTTCCCCAGATGTAAGAGCCTTTTCTTTTCAACCAGGTTTCACACACCATCCTAATAAGCAGTGCAAATGTCTCGGCTATAAGTTCTTTACTATCACTGTTTGTCACTTTGCAGGCAGCTAAAACGACTATACATGCRTTGATTTGTTTCTCATATATCTTATTGTCTCACAACTTGGTCCCGTGCAACAGCAAATGTTTTAGGCTTCAAGTCCCTTTTCAAAAAGACAAACATTTAGACAGRCAACCTTATCATAAGTACCGGGTCATGGACTTTGAAAATTAGCAAAAGGTTCAAAGGTTTAAGTCTTGTTTTTTTAGGGTCTTAAATGGACATGSCYCTCCACCTTTAAACTCTTTTATTCAGAAGTACAAATCCAGAACAAGCACTAGATCTCATACTAGAGGAGACTGCATCATAACAAGGAAAGGTGACGTCAATTAGAGGAACACACTTATGGAGTGAACTACCAGAACATATCAGAGACTGTGACAGCTCTTCCATTTTTAAAAAAGAAACTTTGTTTGGCTTAAAGAAAATCAGTCAGGCATTCATTCATAATATAGGTCTACTTTCACTGTGAACCTTGCAGTGTGTGATGTTGGATTGTTTTAATCGATTGTTTTGTGCACTTGTATTATAAACTGTTTGTATATATATTTTTAATCTGCTCAAGACAACGAATGAAATGTAGCTGTTGTAYTAACTCCATCCCATTTATATTCATAGAATATTGATTATTRTGCATTGTCCTTTTAAATAAATAAACTAAGCTTACTACAGGGTTTGTAGGGGTGCTTGGAATCTTTAATAATGTTTGAATTTAATTAAGTGTTTTCAAGGTTTTTAGAAAGTGCTTGATTCCTGTAGTAAGTCCTTGAAAGTGCTTGATAATCTAACTGCACAGTTTTGTAATGAAGAGAACTCCAACAGTTTGATTAAAAACCTAAACTAGACATTTTTATGTTAAAGGCACAAAATATCAAGCGGTCGTTTTGCCTTGAATGACGCCTCAGAGAGCCTCTCTGCCGCTCAGAGTGGGTTTCCTCCTTTTCCTAATACTGGCGTGTGAGCGATTGATTGTATGAAGGATGGATTGAGCTAGCGTTCATGTCCTCTACTRTACTTTAAAATGTGCAACAACAAAATATTTTTATTGAAAACGCCAATAAAGGTGGTTTGCTAATGGTTCAATTATGCAAGAATTAGCTGTGGCTTGGCAGTTTTTCRTTACGCCTCTGATGTCTTTTGGGATCCTTCTGTTTATATTGTTTGTCCATTTAATATTATAACCTAAAAGAATTTTATTCGCTKGCAAAGTTTTTTAGATTGTTGATAGGCTCCTGTGGTTATAAAGCTCAATGGAGAAATACACAAAGATAMAGACTGCTCCGAAGTTTGGTGTTGAAAAAGTTTACCTTGAAATGCTTGAATAATGCTTGAATTTTACGGTTGACAAAGTGTACGAACCCTTTACTTGTAAAGCCCGTATTTTATTCTGTTTTGTGTTTTAGGTTCCTCTACCAGGAATGAAGTGGGTAGACAACCATCGAGGTGTTTTCAACGTGGAACTGGTGGCAGTTTCAACCATCCACACACAGGTAATGTTAGTCCATGCAGCAACTTTAYTTGGTGTTTTATGGCATAACCTACTCTTATCTTGCATATTATTGTATATTCAATAAAAAACATTAATCTTGCAAAAAAATCTTAAAAATAATTGTAAAAAAATGCTTAAATATTTCTGCTTCCTTCAGAGTCATCGCATTAGTAGTAGTTTAGAATTTCCATTAAAGTTTAGAGAAATACTTGTCTTTTTTTCTCGCATTAAATCGAAAAGTTTCTCTCAGTTTTAGTTCGTTAGTGGGTGAATCCTACCTTGCCAGTAAATTTCTGAGGTCTACTCCATCTCTGTTTTGGCCGCTGCGTGGAGGGCTTGACTGTGGGTCCTAGGAGCCTAACTGGGACTAATGTGCTCATAAATCACTGCTCTTGAGACAGATTAGATTTACTGGATTCTCCTGTGTTCTTGTGGTAATGTTCGTTTTGCGGTCTTTACTCAGTGAGCCAACCTGCCGGCTTAGAGACGAGTACAGATGAGTAGTASGTCCGAGATTCGGTTTTTTYACTTTTCTTTTTCACTTTTCTCCAACTTTACCAAATTTGTGATTTATTTAAGTTTAGTTACACAAACCTTTCTTTCTTATTCATTTTCGTTATGGTTCTCTAGTCTTCTATTATTTTCTTTATTATTACTTCTTTTATTTTTTAACATTTCTCCTGTATTTTTTAAATCTTATTTAAACCCAAAGGGGCTCAAAATACTATGCCGCAATGTAATTGAGTGTATCTCAGCATTTACAAACTCTACTTAAATAATCTTGGTATCAAACTAAAGCTAAATATTAAAACAGCTGCTCTAGTTTTAGAGATATTGAGGATGGAACATCATTTATTTTTTTTACATTTTTTTCGCTCTTACCTGAATAATTTTTGCATTAGACAGTATAAAACCCATTTAAACTCATAATGGATAAGGCTAAAAACTCTTGGAAACCATATATCCACCTATTGACATTATCTCTGCAAAAACTCATGCTGCTAAAGTAAATTAGAGAAAAGTTACAGAGATTTTAGTAAAGAAATA